GCGGATACATTAAATAATCTGTATCTAGAACTGTGGATTAACTTTTCCTCGATGTGCGGACTTTGTCCTTAATTCCGGTATTGACGGGGCAACTGGGGAATTCCGATAAATTAGGTCTGTAGAAAGTTATTTTCTTTCTTTCTTACTGTCAGTTATATGTTACCTCCTCTGTGTGATCGAAAGATCCGACCTAGACTACAACATATGCAACTCTGTCTCTCTGCATCTTCTATCTATGCAATTCTTTCTGTCTGTTAGTCATATGTTGTATCCATTGCGTGATTGAAATACATCCGACCTGGTACACAACATATGCATCATTCTTCTTCTCCATCCCTCTAAACTCTAGTTATTCATATGTTTCACTCTTTGCGTGATTGGAAGAGATCCGACCTGACCGTACAACATATGCATTCTAAATCTGACATCTTCCTTAATAATTGTCTGCTCATCTGAAGTAAGGAGTATTCTGGAAGTCCTTGATTATTGGGGTATATCAGGAAGCGGGAAACACGTTCTAGTACAACTAAAATTGAACATTTATAGGTTGTCTAAAGATCTCGCTACTCAATTTAGGTGAACAACAATATCCTTGGTCGTCGTCAGCTGAATGGTCCTTAGGAAGTTTATCTAGGAACATAGGATCAAAATGCCTTGTCACTTATAGCATGTCCAAAAATTTGTCACAATTTTTTCGTGCTTAAGTGGACCACAATACCGGCGATCGACCAGACATGGACATGAAGGTAGAAATATCGATAAGCGGATTAAGGCTGTCTAACAACTTTGATCCCAATATCACAAAAATATTATTAGCGTTAGTTGAGATGAAATTAGTGTTAATTCATTTTAATTTCAATTTTAATTTGTTTTATTTTTTATTTTATTATTTTTATTTTTATTTTTTATTTTTATTTTATTTTCAATTTATTCAAATATTAAGAACAAATTTAAAAATAATAATATTATTTTAGTTTGATTTTTAAAATTTGTTTCATTTTATTTTTATTTTATTTTTAGTCCTCAAAATGTTTTATTTTGAAAATTTTTGGGTATTGGACTTTATTTTTAAAGCATTATGGGTTGCAGCCCATAGATCTTGGTCCAAGTATATAAGGTTTTAGTTCCAGCCGAAAACTCTTTACCTCCTCATCTTGTTCCTCTCGGCCGTAAACAGCGATTTTCTCTCTCTCTCTCTCTCTAAAAACTTTTCATGATTTTTCGTGAAATTGATCATTTGAATCTGAAGGTATGCTATTTTCGATCCTCATAATGCCATTCTCGCATCGAATCGACCTGTATTGAGGGTGTAATCGAAGAAAAATCGTTTTCGGAGTTTACGGCCATGAGCTTACGGCCAGAGCTTACGGCCAGGAGCTTACGGCCAGATGTTTACGGCCATGACTATTTACGGCCATTGACTGTTTATGGTCAATGGGCTGTTCACAGTTATTGACTGTTTATGGCCATTGACCCCTTGACCGTAAACTCACTTTTGGTCAACAAAATTTGATTTTTCTTCATTTGTTTCACTTAAGAGCCTAATTAAACTGCAACATGAGTAAAACATCAATTTTAAATGTTTAAATAAATTGTTTTCTCATTTGTCTTGGTTTGTACAGGTTGAAATGGCAGATCTAAAATTCGCTGACAGTCACAACTTGGCAATTCTTTTGGCTGATCCTCATGTTGCTCATGGAGAGTTCAAGTCAATGATACATGGATTAAGGGAATGTTGCCTGACCACTGCTCTTACTGTGAATCCAGCAATTTATCAAGGCATAATTAAAGAATTCTGGAGGTCAGTTGACGTAAAGAAAGGAGAAGATGGATCTGTATCTGTTGAAGCTACTGTAAAGGGTTGCAAAATCATCATAACAGAACAATTCATCAGGGTCGTTCTGAAAATCGACGATCAGTCTACCTTCCCTACTAAGATTGAAACCGATCAAGTTCAGGAACTTTTCAACAAGATGGGCTATGAAGGCGACTTTCCTCCGACAATGAAGAAGCTGCTACCACCTTACTGGAGGTTCATAGCTCATGTCTTTGTGAGCTGCATATCAGGAAGAAAATCTGGCGCGGATGAAATTTCATTAAGAAACACAGGAGCCATTGTTGCCCTTGCTGCTGGATTTGACTTTAACTTCTCAAAGTTCATCCTTGACGAGCTGACTCTAAACATTAAAGGAAAAACAAGGGACAAGTTCTTGATGTATCCAAGGTTCATTCAAGTGTCCATCAACGAGCAATTTTATGCGATGGTTAAAGAAGGAGAAACTCTAGACATGAAGTCTCTTGGGCCAAACACTGTCGGGCTAATCAAACAAACCCGAAGGGGAAAAGTTACTTTTCAAGGAAAGTATCCCTTAGTGAAGTTTGGTATGTTTGCCGATTCAAGCGAGGCATCTGAGTCGTCAGACCGCGTAACTTCCGAAGACGATGTCATTTCCGAAGAAGATGTTATTCCTGTATCAGATCACGAAGATAATGTAGTTACACCTGTTGTTGTAGTGGCTGAAGAGCATAACTTGCAATCTGTGCATGTTGAGAGTGACTACAATGAGGGAACGATGGAGGATGCAACTGAAAATGAAGGAGATGATGATGATTCGTTTAATGATATTGATCTTTCAGGTTTTGACAAGGATGACATTTCCTTGAATTTTGGAGGCAATGATAACCTCTTGTCCAATGAAGACCTTGACTCGTTTTTTAACAATATTCGTGATGTTGCTCATCCAGCAACGGAGATAAGGGATACAGAAGATGTTCTTGAAACAACGCCTCCTACTTCCAACCAAATGGCTGACACTACAACACCTATGGAGACAACTTCAGGGATTCCTCCCCTTGAGGATGTTATTCCTACTATTGAGGCATCTGTGAGTAAACCGTTGACGACTCAGACCTCCCAGTCTCCGTTGAAAAGGAGAAGACGTGATCCGAGGCAGGGAGTATTCATTCCAGAACAATCTCAAGGCCATCTGACTCAACCAATAACTACTCTAACAACTACTTTTGCTGCTGATTCATCTGTACCATCCCAAGAAGGACCAAGCACCATTTTTGAAGTTGGTGTTACATCAGCTCCCCCGGGATCATCTCCTCCTAGGTCTTTTTATGATGATGCCTCTGAGAGGCTTGCTATGCATCTGGCCCAACAACAAAGCTCAGTGCCTTCCTCCCACGCTAAAGGAATTTCTATAGAGGAAAGCCACTCAGGAGAGGATGATTCCACCATGCACGAACTTAGAAAGGAGATCGGCGTGCTAAACCAGAAAAACATTGAGCTTGATATTCGTGTAGTTGGTCTTGAAGCCGAAAAACCTCAGCTTAACATTCGTGTTGCAGATCTTGAAGCAGATAAGACTATGAAATCAAAGCAAATCTCTGATCTGCAAACACACCTGGGAACCATAACTGCATGCTACTTTGACTTCAAGAAGAAACTGACAGAGGAACTTGGCGACAAGTTCAAATCATCCGTTCAAGAATTCAATGTTGGTCAGTCATCTCAAGATCTCCCTGTTGACCCGCCCACTGAAAGAAGAACTCGGATCGTTGATCGTTTTGAAAAAGAACCAGTTCAAACACCCAACGTTGTTGTACTAAAACACGCCAAATTAGCAGCATCCACCAAGAAAAAGCAACTATTGTTCAAGAAGAGCTCAGATCAGAACGCTCCTGGAGATCAACCCAAAGTCACCGTCACTGATCTTAAAAAGAAAAGATTTGGACACAAGTACGGTGATAGATCAGGAATTGTCTCATGGGGTTTTCATGACAGGATAAACATGTGGATAGTGAGACGCAAAAGCTCAAACGTGGAGTATTACAAAGACTTCCATGATTTCAGTTCATGGACAAGGGTTGATCTTTCAGAACTATCCAGTGCTCCATTTGCAAATCCATCAGGTGATCCACGGGCAACTCATTTCAAGCTTTATTTGGAGAACCAAGTAAAGAAGGGATTTCCTAACATGAAGACTGTTGAGTCCATCATTAAAAGATTCCCTGACATACTGGATCCCAAGATAAATCAGCCTTTCCATACTGTGATGTGGCCACCGACCAACCAAGTTAGGCAGATTCCTGTGTTGCAGAACTTATGTGATGGATCTCTTACGAATATACTTTACTGGATGTATGATGAAACCACTGCGACTGCTATCATTAAGTTTCAAGATGGTTGCTTTCGCCTGTTCGACAAAAGAGATCTACTTCAATTCGGAAAGTGGGATATTCATCATTTGGCACAACATCAGATCAAAGTGGCTGAAGAGATCTTCGAGAGTGCTGCTAAAGAATACACGTCAATGGTTGTAGAGATCGTCACAAAAGAGATGTGGAGTGGCGCGATGGGGGGCTCCGATGTGCTTATCGTTGAAAAGGACTAAGTCAAAGCTAGCCTCAAACCAAGGGGGAGATTGAAGGGTCTAGTTTATGGTTTGGGCTAGGCTATCTGATGTTTAGGTCTTAATGGGTCTTTTATCATGTAACAGAGTTGTTTGGAAGTGTTTACGGCCAAAAGTCTGTTTACGGCCGTAAACCTGTTTACGGCCAGCCTTTCCCCTATATAAAGGGCTTGTCAGAGTCTGTCAGTTGGTTGTTGTTGAATCATAGAGTTTATGGTCTATGTATGTGTCCAAGTTGTACCTGACGTTTTTTTTATAAGAGAATCAATCAACATTTAAAATTAAGGACTAGCTAGGTGTTCAATATTTGATTTGGATCCAAAATAATAAGAGTATCAAAATTCTCTCTTTCAATTAATTCTTTCTCTAAAATATTACAAGATCCACACCATTTCATTCCTGAACATGAATGCATGGTTTTAGAATATGAAATCACTCAACTGAGATCGCTTCTGACTCCCCATGTGCATGTTGTGCTTTTTTAAAAATATAGGCACTATCTTCCACACCCGCATTCAAGCAATTCATCCGATGCCAAGCAAAGTGATCTTCACAACAAATGGAGCCAGCGATGATAGAAATTCATGCTACTTTCCAGGTTGCGTTGTGCATGTCATAAAACTTGTCGAATGCTTTGTCGAAGCAAAAGTGACAAGCAAGAAGATCCTTTATATCAGTCACCTTACAACTTGATTTACAGCATTTAACAAGACGGTTGAGCTTGGAAGAGTAGTACTTGGTATGGGAAGGGTGTGTTTGGATATGCTCCACCACGTGCCCTCCACTATCACATAATGTTATTTTACAATCAAGGCACGCCCCCAAACTAGACAAACTATTATAGGCATTACATCCGGCCCCTGTGTATTTCTTCCCAATTTTGTGGCATCTTTTATATAGTTCAAGAAGATCCTTAGGTATAACACTTGATGCCTGATGAGCAGAGGATAAAGATTGAGGATTTGATTCCATGATGACTAAACAATCTTCAGCAAGATGACCGGCTTTTTTACATTTCCAACATTGATATGAAGATAGAATAGATATCTTTGTTGACCAGCGATGACGGTTGAAATCCCTAGTGTCAGTTTCAGAAACTTGCAATTGAAATTTAGGTCCCTTGACTAATATTTGGTTGCTTGGAGTTGGAGGCCCCCGAGAATTTTTTAGATTGTCCAAAAGCTCAGCTTTACAATCCATGTTGCAGATATCATCATCAGTCTCATCACATATATATTCCCCATATTTGCCACACACCACACATACAGGCTCTCCAGGAATAGGAAACCGTTGTAACCTTCTTTCTTTTATTACGTCATTGCCACTGTTTATATTTCCAACACTTTCAGGAAGAGGATCCTTGGTTTCTTCTCTTTCTGAGAAATCACTACTTGCATCACCCCAACACCAATCTTCCACCAGAGGCCGAACCCTCACCCTCACCCTCCAACACTTTATTAGTTAATTCCTCAAAGGCTTCAATCGAATTAGCTTCTTTCCTAATTTTCTGAATATAATCATGGTGAGACATGGGTCCATCACTTTCTTCAATTTCGTGTCTTTTAGCCATGGAAGGTGAAATCCTCCGCCGCTTGCAACGGTTAGATTGTAAGGGCCTTTTCCCTTGCTGGAAGCCGATTCATCATCCGGCGGAGTTGGATTTCCGGTGGCAGCATTATAAGCTTTTAGATTTTGAAGAACTGAGTTGAGGTCGAAATCTTTGTTATATGTAAAAGAAGGGTTCTTGTAGAAGTTTGTTCTCGTTTCCCATTTCCTCTCGCAATAATCCGAAATCAGTCTGATAGCCAGGAATTGTCTTGTAAACGTACTTAAGATGTCTTCAAGTTAAAAATGGCATAATATCACAATGAACCGGAGACATCAATTCCACCAACATGCTCCCAAATACCCATTCGTTCATCTGTAACCATATCTCCAATGATGAAGATGAAATCGGCAACCAAATTCAGAACCAGTTTGTCGGCTCTGCAAAATCAAAACCGGTTTGTCAAAGATTGGACGAATCTGCAACAATAGGTGGACCGATAGATAAGTACAGATCTAGGGTTTCTTAAGGGAGGTGTGCGATGGCGGTGACGAAGGATGGTGCGGTGATGAATGGCGAGGGAGGTCGACGATGGTTCCGGCGATAATGGGAAGCGTTAGCTTTTACAAAGAGTAAGGTGCTGTTTGTTTTTTGGAAAAAACCTCTTCAGACCTCTTATTGCTGCGCGGCGCAGCACTTTTCATCTCGCAGCTGTTTGTTTTTCAGAAGTCTTCGGATTAAAAAACCTCTACGCGTGTTCTTCTTTGCGTAGCACTTGTTTTGCCTCTTCCTACCTCTTCCAACCTCTTATTTTTCTTTTTTTCTTGCTAAAATATTGATTATATATTGCTGAAATCTTATTTCACATTTTTTTTTCGTTTTTTTTATTTATTCTTGCTTTTTGTTGAAAAGGACTAAGTCAAAGCTAGCCTCAAACCAAGGGGGAGATTGAAGGGTCTAGTTTATGGTTTGGGCTAGGCTATATGATGTTTAGGTCTTAATGGGTCTTTTGTCATGTAATAGAGTTGTTTGGAAGTGTTTACGGCCAAAAGTCTGTTTACGGCCAGCCTTTCCCCTATATAAAGGGGTTGTCAGAGTCTGTCAGTTGGTTGTTGATGAATCATAGATTTTATGGTCTATGTGTGTGTCCATGTTGTATCTGACGTTTCTTTGATATAAACGTGTGCAAAGCTTGGTTTAATCTTCTTCTACTCCATTCTAATCTTGTTTGATTGTTATTTTGTTTGATCACTAGTTCGTATCCTAGTTTTTAGGGCCTTACAGTATGCTTACTTTCGAATGCATCATCATATGTCATCTGGTTGTGGCATCGAAGACTCTCTCATTTGAACTTTCGAAATCTCAATAAGTTGGTGGTAAATGATCTTGTTCGTGGTTTACCTGTTTTAAAGTTTGATAATGATACTTTATGTGCAGCTTGTGATCAAGGAAAGCAACATAGACAAGGTCATCCAATTGTAATTGATTCGAAGATTGTTGAACCACTGGAACTTCTTCATATTGATCTTTGTGGACCATCGATTGTTGAAACACTCAACAAGAAACGGTACATTTTGGTTATTGTTGATGGTTTTTCACGGTTTACTTGGGTATATTTTCTCAGGTTAAAATCTGAAACTGCTCAAGCAATGATCAACTTTATCAAACACATTGAAACAAGTTTAAAGAAAAAGGTTCGAAAGATCAAGAGTGATAATGGCTCAGAATCTAAGAACAATGTTCTTGATTCATTCTTAACAGACAAAGGAATTTCACATAATTTTTCTTCGTCGTACATGCCTCAACAGAATGGTGTTGTCGAAAGGCGAAATCGTTCACTCTGCGAAGCGGCAAGAACAATGCTAACATGTGCGAATCTTCCTCAATATTTTTGGGCTGAAGCAGTCTCAACTGCATGTTTTACTCAAAACAGATCGTTTATTCATCGTCGTTTCAACATCACTCCATATGAAATCATAAATAACCGAAAACCTAATGTGAAATTTTTTCATGTTTTTGGGTGCAAGTGTTTGCTAATGAATCTCAAGGATAATCTTTCGAAATTTCAGTCTAAGGTTGATGAAGGAATATTTTTGGGCTATTCACACAATTCGGTTGCATACAGGGTGTTGAATAAACGAACACACAAAATTGAAGAAACGTTCAACCTTACTTTTAATGACTATCATGTTAAAAGAGTTGAAAAATCTTTCAAACAAAACCCAATTCTTAATGAATCAAATGATGAATCTCAAAGTGTAAATTTTTTAGATTTTAATTATGATTTAATATTTGGTGTTCCTGACAAGGCTATTGATGTGGAACTTCATGCTGATGATAATCGAGTTTCTGAAGCATCTAAGCATACTGATGATTCGACAATTAGTCAGGATATTGCAGATGTACACTCGACAACAAATTCTCCAGTTAATAATGAAAGTCTGCCAGTTCTACAAACTGATCAAGTGGAGGGGGAGCACTTGAATTCTAATACTCATGTTGAGGGGGAGCATACTTTCCAGGGGGAGAGAAGGAGAATGGATGCTGATGTCGAGGGGGGGCATCAAGAAAATAATTTTGTCTAGGGGGAGCAAAATGAAAATCAACCAAATATTTCAATTAATCAAACTGAAATTTTTCATGATATAATGGATAATGTGTCTATTGCAGGTTCAAAGAATGATGAAACCTTCGAAGATGCACCATTAGAGTTTGATCCTGCATATCCACCATTAGAAAAATGGACACGAAGTCATCTAAAGGAACAAGTTCTTGGTAATCCTCAAGATGGAGTTTTGACCAGTGCTCAACATCGTGCTAAAAATGAGGTATTAAATGTTAATCAAGAATTTTGCATGTTCAATGTCTTTATTTCGAAAATAGAACCAAAAACAGTCAAGATTGCTATGGAAGATCCTAATTGGATTGTTTCTATGCAATATGAGTTGGCTGAATTTGAAAGAAATAAAGTTTGGCATCTAGTTCCTAAACCAAAAGATGTGTCAGTGATTGGATTAAAATGGATTTTTAAAAATAAAACTGATAAAGAAGGCAACGTTGTTCGAAATAAGGCTAGGCTTGTAGTTAAAGGTTAATCGCAACAAGAAGGTATAGACTATGAGGAAACCTTCTCCCCTGCCGCAAGACTCGAGGCAGTTCGAATATTTTTAGCCTATGCAGCACACAAGGATTTTGATGTCTATCAGATGGATGTCAAGTGTGCGTTTCTCAACGTTGAACTCGAAGAGACGGTGTATGTTGAACAACCTCCAGGTTTTATTAACGAAAAATACCCTAATCATTGTTATATCTTAGATAAAGCTGTCTATGGGTTAAAACAAGCACCAAGAGCCTGGTATGCAACTCTTACCAATTTTTTAAAGAAATCAAAATTTAAATAAGGATCAGTTGATCCCACTCTCTTTCGAAAAAAAGTTGGAAATCATCTTATGCTTGTTCAAATTTATGTCGATGATATTATTTGTTTGCTCTACTGACCTTGTTTTGTCAAAAGAATTTGAAAATCTGATGAAAAGCCAATTTGAAATGAGTATGATGGGGAAAATAAACAATTTTTGTGACAACCTGAAAAATTCTAGAGCAAACTAGGTCTAAACTTCAACCACGTACCAGTAGATTCACATTGTAACCTTGTTACAATAGAACATAGAAAGCCAAGAGAGCATGCTTATACAAGTTCATATATATTAATACACCTTTGAAAGCCAAGTTGTAATGAACCCTTGAAATGCAAATGAAGTCAACAAGCCTTAAAGAGTCAAATGGAGTCAACACAAGTCAATATGATAAGTTTAAAAGCATATTATTGTATATTACTTAAGGATTTCGAATTTTAGAACCTTTGAATCACATAGAACCGTGAACACATGGCCTAAGCCCATCTTGGCCGAAAACCCAAACCAATTGGGCCGTAAACACCCCTAATGGGCCATCCCTTGGCCGTAAACACCCTTAGTGAATCAATGCTTGGCCGTAAACTACTTTAATGGGGCATAGTTGGCCGAAAACTCCATAAAAGGCCACTAAGGCCGAAAACACACTAGGATACCTTATGGTTTACGGCCTAGGAGATGAATAAGACAAGGGAAAGTCGACTTTAAGATGTGATTTCACCGATTTCCAAGGCAATCCCAGTAAACCACTAATTACCCTCCAAATATCTAAGCATTACCCTTCATATATCCAAGTAAACTTCACATCAATACCATCCATCTTATTAAACAAGATAAACCTCATAAAGCCTCACCATTTCTTCATTATACTCTCTGTTAAGTTCCTTTTTCTCTCCAGAAAACTATTCCCAAGTATCAAAGGAATTAAGCCCCAAGTTCCTCCCTAGGTATCTTTGGTAAGTGTTTTCATAATACCCTAGTGTTTATATATGATTATATGTTAGTTCCACTATTTTTACACACATATTTGTGTGTTGATATTGTTAGGATAATAATCATTCTTAGAAGTTCATCCACCCTAATCAATTGCCAAGCTCGAAATCTTGTTCTACTTATTCCAAATCGTCCACCAAACCAAACCAAGGTGAGTTCATACCCCCATATTTTTCCAAGCTTTTTTTCAATGTTTTTTTTTGGGGGGGGAGGGAATACATGTAAAACACAAGAAATCTTGTGTTTATAAATATAATTTACTTATCATGTTTTCATACCGTTAATATGCATTTAAACGTGAAATTTATTAAAACACGCGAAATATGAATAATGTTAAATTTACAACTTAAAAACTATAATAGGTATAGTCTATGGAACAAAGGAACTATTTTACAAAGATCAGGTTATAACACGGAAACCAACTTATAAACTATAATAGGTATAGTTTATGGAACAAACGGACTATGTAACATCCCAAATTTCAAGACCAAAAATTTCATTTTTGATATAACAATTTAGAAAATATAAATGAGTCATTTCATTTCATAAAACCATAATCTCATGTCTCAAAATCTTATCATAAAAATAGTAACAATGTCATAGTACAATCCCAATAAATCTCATAGTACGGAAATCCTACGTGTGTGTGATATGCCGCTACCGCGCCGGCTCCTTCCCCTTCGCTGAAGAGGTACCTGAAACAAAAATGAAAACTGTAAGCATGAAGCTTAGTGAGTTCCCCCATCATACCACATACCATACTACACATGACATACATACTGTCAGGCATATATGGGTGACCGACCTACCCCTTCAGTCCTCTCGACCGGTGACCTTGCCTAGCATATCTAGGTGATGGCCTACCCCTTCGGTCCTCTCGACCGGTGACCTTTCCTAGCATATCTAGGTGCTGGCCTACCCCTTCGGTCCTCTCGACCGGTCTATCACATACTATCACATAATCATGATCTGTCTAGCA